GATATCCTAGATAAACATAGTCCCATTTGCCAGCATTTGGCCCGGATCCCTCTGAACCTTTCCTATTCATACACCCATCCAGATATCCTGGATAAATATAGTCCCATTTGCCAGCATTTGGCCTGTATCCCTCTGAACCTTTCCTATTCATACACCTATCCAGATGCCTTTTAAATGTTGCACTTGCCATGTGGTCATTGGCACTGCATTTGTCTGTCTTCCTCCTTTTTTTAGTACCATTGTTTTGATCTTTTTTCCCCAAAGTTCCAAAACAATGCAACAACTTATAACACATTAATTACTCCAACTAGAATTCAAGGAAATCAGCTCCACACTGAAAATACTTCAAAAAAGGAGCAGCTCTTACAGCCAGAACTTTTTCCCATCCTCCATCTTGGATTACCCAGAATCCTAAAGGTCCAATGCTCTACCGACTGAGCTATCTGGGCTCTCACACCCTGTAATGTCTCCCTACCAAATAAGTGCCACACGATACATTCTAGAACAGAGGCAAATCAGCCAGTTTCTTGTGTAGTGGGGATATGTGGGTGGCCAAGGCTTGAGTTTGAAACATTGTTCTCTCCTGTGCTGCAACACATGATGAACAGAATGTCTGCTTTTAGCCGACTTGTGTCATAACCAACACATCAGGCAGCACGAAGAATGTAAACAGTCAGGTTAAAAAGAGCTAGTGCAGCAGTGAGTCACTGTGTACTTCTGTTGATCAGTGAGTGTTGCTCACTGTTCTAAGACAGGCACTTACTGGCAGGGGGTCGTGCTGTAACTCTGAGGCACTGCCATCCCCCCAGGACATCGCTGCTTGGACTGAATATACGTCTGTGAAAAACACACTGCTGGTTCTGGGAAAAACCGCAGCACAGCACACAACCCGACTCTGCCCCCTCTGAACACTGGTCTCCACCACTACTGGTGCCAACCCTCAGGAGTGTGTCAGAGGTTCTACGCAAATTAAAGGTTCATCTCATGGATGTTCCTATGAGATGAAAATCATTGGGACATTTTCTCACTCAGTTCCAGCTATCCAGAATCGTGGCAAACCATTGGATAAATCTTTGCCCACTCTGACCCCATTTTTAAGGCTTGAAATTCCCTCGGTGAGACCCGAGAGAGCAGGAAGATGATTGGACAGTTTTTTAATATCTCAATCAGAGTTCAGTGGAGGCCATTTATGCCTCAGTGATTGAGGACTTTGCGTCCTTTCCCCGTGCTCTATGCAATGACACCTCACATCATATAGTCCAGCCACACGGCCATTCAGAGTCTGTGCTCACGCCAACTGGCATGCCCACACATTAGCTTTCACCTTCTGGAAACTGGTGCCACACATCAACCTCGGAACATTCAGCATCAACCTAGGCATCAGTAATAGCAATAACACATTTGGCCCAGTCAATCCTGCAAAATCCTCCCAACCTCTCAGGAATGGTGTCAAAGGCTATGGGCCTTGACAACATTATGGCTGCAGTTCTTAAGGCTTGTGCTCCGGCACTAGCTGTGTCCCTCCCTGTCCAACTAGTACACTTGCACTGACCCAACAATACGGACAATTGCCCAGGTGTATCATGTATACCAAAAAAAAGCAGGACAACTCGAACCCAGCCAATTACCGCCTCATCTGCCTTTCTCAAACGGCTCAGCGATGGGAAGTGTCATCAACCCAGCTGTCAAGCAACACCTACTTGGTGGAGTCATAACTAACACAAAGGAGGATGGTGTCAGACCAAGGTTGTTGTTCCAGGAGTTCCTCAGGGTACCAGAGTCAGAGAGAGGTTTACACACAGAACAAAGGCCCTTCAGCCCATTGTGTTCATGCCAATCAAAAACAACCAGATCCTATTCTAATCCCATCTTCCAGAACTTGACTCATAGTCATATATCCCTTGGCATCACAAATACACATCTAAATACGTCCTAAGGGTTTCTGTCTCCACCATCCTCACACGCAGCCAGTTCCAGATTCCCATCACCCTCTGGGTGGAAAAGTTCTTTCTCACATCTCCTCTGAACTTCCTGCTCTTTACCTTAAATCTGTGCCCTCTGGCCACAGATCCATGAAGGGGAAAGGTTCCTTCCTGTCTACTCTTCTATCTACACCCCTCTCAATCTCCTCCGCTTCATGGAAAACAACCCAAGTCTGTCCAATCTCTCATCATAACTGAAATTCTCCAGCCGAGGCAACATCCTAGTAAACCTCCTCTGCACCCTGTCCAGTGCTATCACATCCCTCCTGTAATATGAATTCCAAAACTGCACACAATATTCTAGCTGTGGCCTTACCAACATTTTATACAGTTCCAGCATAACCTCCCTGCTCCTAAACTCTATACCTCAACTATTAAAGGCAAGTATCCCATGTGCCTTCTTAATGCCCTAGGCCAAATCATCTTCAGTAATTCACCAAATAAACTTCTCCCCATCGTAAAGGCAGAAGTAGGGATGTTTCTCAACTCCTCAGATACTGAAACAGCCCGTGCCCAAGTGTAGCAAGACCTCAAGGTTTAGGCTGACGATAGACAAGTTATATTCACTCTACACATCCAGGCAATGACCATCTCAACAAGAACATCTAACCATCTCCCACTGACATTCATCATCATCAGGCCAACATTACCACTGACTACAAATATAACTGGACCAGCCAAATAAATACCAGGGTTGCTACAGCAGGCTGGACACTGGGAATTCCGTGATGAGTAACTTGCCTCCTAATGGCACTAGAGCTTTTCAACCATTTTGAAGGCATAAACCAGGAGTGTAGTGGAATATTGCCATGGGGATATCATCAGCATCTGAAGATTCCCTTATAAATCACCATTCTGATTTGAAACAATATCATTGTTGTTAGATTAAAATTCATGAACAGCCTTTCTCAGTATCGAGGGTGTATCTACACCACATGGACTGCAGCAGTTTAAGGGGCCGTTCACTACCACCTTCTTAAGAGTAAGACTGAGATAGATAGGTTCCTGATTAGCAAGGGGATCAAAGGTTATGAGGAAGGCAGGAGAATAGGGTTGAGAAACATATCAGCCATGGTTGAATGGTGGAGCAGACTCATTGGACTGAATGGCCTAATTCTGCTTCCATATCTTATGGTCATAATTACTGATAGGTATTAAATACTGGTGTTATTAGCCAAGCCCATATTCCAAGAATAAACAAGAAAGCACACACATCCCATGATACTTGAAGCACCACCGTCATTGCATGTTTGATCATTATTCTGCTTGTAGTGTAAGTTTTGTCACATCTTTACTCTGTTTCGATCAATGAGTGAATCTTTCATCTCCCAGGAGCCTTCCTCCCTTTAAAGGTGCCAATGATGATTGCTTTAAAACTGGGATTGTGCTTCCTTGGGGACCAATCACTAACCTGCATCATTATGGGCTGGTGGTTGTAATTCACACTGATTGTCAGAGACCTACCTGCTTCATAATGGGCACTGTATTACACATAGGGGTCCAATAGGACCCATGGAGACAGGCTGAGGAACAATACCTACCAGATTCTTGTTGATAAGCCATAGAAGGGTCAAAATTATTTGAATTATAGAATCCCCACAGTGTTGAAGCAGGCTATTCAGCTCACTGAGTCCACACTGACCCTTTAGAACATAGGACATAGAACAGTACAGGCCCTTCGGCCCACGATGTTGTGCCAAACCTTTACTCTAAACCTAAGGTCTATCTCACCTCCACCCCTACCTTATACTATCATCCATATGCCTATCTAGTAGCCGCTTAAATGCCACTAATGAGGCCGACTCCACTACCTTCTCCAGCAATGCATTCAATGCCCCTACCTCTAAAGACCATCCACCCACACTCAACCCCTACTTTATAACCCTGCATTTTCCATGGCTAATCTAGCCTGCATATCCCTGGACATACATAGCAATTTAGCATGGCCAATACACCATCCTGCACATCTTTGGACTGTGGGAAGACCCACACATAGCGAGAACGTGCAAACTCCGCACAGACTGTCACCCGAGGGCGGGACTGAACCCAGATCCCTGGTGCTGTGAGGCAGCAGTGCTAACCACTGAGCCACTGTGTCACCCTAGTTGCAGCCTCCTAATGCATGCACAGCAGGTGTCAAAATATATCCCACGCCTTGTCTGAGGCCTTGAGTTTCTTTTGAAGACTACTTTTTCAATTCGGGGACCACCTTTTGGTTTTGTTGGGTTCCCTTCTCATTCTCACTAACTTCTTCATTCGGTGCTGCAGTCTTGTACTAACAATACCTTCTGTACTGGTTTTGACATGTGTCGGGGTTTGGAACTCAAACCGAAGGAGATTTAGAAGAATTCACCAATATCCTCATTAATCAATACATCTCCAATAAACTGAAAACTACAACACGCAAGGGAAGCATTTATTTCACAGACGTCACAATATTGAAATTGGCACGAGACATCAGTTATAAGTTAGCAACAATGTTTTTAAAGAACTAACACACTTCTATACCATGACATGAAACAGACAGACTGTTAAGGTCATAACTAAACTGTTGCAAGCTTGTCTGTAATACAGTCACTGCCCCTCAAATAATTCACAATATGTGAGATATTTTGAAATGTGATAACACCTTGATGTGAATCTTTAAGAAATAAAACTGTTTAATGTAGTTATTCATTTGAGACAGTGTTTATTACAATAGCATCCATAACATTTTCCCCCATAGATTAGTTGCTAAACTCCTGCAGCCTTAAGCTAGAGCCTCCACATTCACTTTAAAGGAGTTCAGCACCTTAGTTCTCTTGGTTGCGCATTTAGCTAAAAATTCCTTTGTTGAATGATTTAAAACTGTTCTCTTTCGCAGCTCTTCACTTCCTTGCAGGCACTCTCTCAGTAAAGTATTTCATCCCATTCTGAAGCCCCTCTCACCACTCTGTAGCCCTTATTCACAGGCAATTAGGGGTGGACAATGAATGTTACCTATGTCCCATAAAAGAAAAAATTAGCAGTATCTGTTACCTGTATAAACGCATGTTTCTCCCTCTTCTGTGAAAGGTCTGTGAGATTAACCAGACACATCTCAAAGAATTTGATTTCCTTTTCCAGCTTTTGAATGTGGCTGTCAATAGCTGCTGTCACACGGCTCTGCTCCTTATCCAGACAATGGAAAACATCTTGCTCTTCATTTTCAATGTGTTTCCTCAATGCATCATACTTTTCCTTCACTTCTCTCTTTGTTTCTGTTATCAGGCTCTAAAGAGACAGGTTAGCTTCGATTGTTCATTTCATTATTTAGTGGTAAGTCCATGTCGATAATAAAACACTTTGCTCTAACTGCAAGCACCAGTCCTTTTAAAGAAAGGGGCATATCTGATGGTTTTGATCTGCAAGTTTCTTCTTTCCTTTATCAATTTACTGGCTTACTCCAATTACCAGGCTCAAACAGCCATCCTTCATTTGTAAAGCTTTGCAATGCTAGCAGGCTATTTGACTATAACAGGCATCATAACCAACCCCAGCTGAAAATAATTTGAGCTGATGGACCAGTTCTCAGAACAAATCATCAAATAGAAATTTTTACAATATGACAAATCAGAAATTTAACTTTGGTAGCAACAGACTTTCCGATGTGCTGGGTTCACTTCTTAGAGACGTAAGGAACAATAAATGCAGACCCCAAGTGTGAGAGTTAAGAAAGGGGAATCAATGGACCAAAATGATTAGCAAAAGGTTCAATTCCAGCCTTGGGTAATTGTCTGTGTGAAGTTTGTACCTTCTCCCCATGTCTGCAATGGGCTTCCTCCCACAGACCAGAGATGTGCAGGTTATGTGGATTGGTCATGGTAAATTGCCGATAGTATCCAGAGATGTGCAGGTATTATGGACATAGGGTAGGGGGCTGGGGCTGGGGGGAATGCTCTTCAGAGGGTCAGTGCAGACCCATTGGCCAAATGCTCTCTTTCTGCACGTGATGTGGAGGTGCCGGTGTTGGACTGGGGTGGACAAGGTCAGAAGTCACACGACACCAGGTTATAGTCCAACAGGCTTATTTGAAATCACAAGCTTTTGGAGCGCAGCCCTTTCGTCAGCATCTGATGAAGGGGCTGTGCTCTGAAAACCTGTGATTTCGAATAAACCTGTTGGTCTATAACCTGGTGTTGTGTGATTTCTAACTCTTTCTGCACTGTAGGGATTCAATGAAAGGTGTTCAAAGAGGGACTTTCGCTAAGTGTGACCCAGACGTGTGAATATAATTCTAAGAAAGACCAAGAAAAGAGGCTGGAGCTTTATAAGGATTTAAACAAACAGGTGAACATTTCACACATCTGGAGTCTTTTAGATGAGCATAATCAGGTGAGTAGAAGTTGTAGAAAGGAGAAACAGAAAACAGCACTGGAGTTATCAACAGTGGAAATGACAAAGACTGAGATTGCAGATAGGCTGAGCTCAGTAAGGAAGCTAAGTGACCTTCTGAAGGATATGGAGTAGAAAAGGTCACTTTGTGTTGAATAGGAAACCAATGCTGGATCTGGATCAATGCTTAGCACGATTGGAGCTCGTATCAAAGATTTTACAATTTTAATGTTACCTGACAGCATCCCCAGGGGTCAGACCTTCTGGAAAGTTTTGTTTGCATCGAGCTGGGTAAGGGACACAAGCAGTAGAACCAGCTGGAAGCAAAAAACATTGAGCTTCTCAAAATTTGGTTTTGGAGGTAAGAAAGGAGGAGACAGGACTCGGAGGAGGCAGAGGCTGGCAGGGGAAATGAAACTGGGTAGAGGTGACGATGTCCTGTGGTTGGGAAAGCAGAAGGACCCCAGCGGAAAGGGGGCTGGTGAAGATAAAGGGTTAAACTTCAGAAACTGAACCCACCTGAGTATTCAGCTTTTGTGTGTGAAGATCACGGAGAGATTTCTGGATGGATGCAACATTTCGCTGGATGCTCTTCAGATGATGGTCTAAGTTGCCCTAACAATAACAACAGAGAGAAAACCAAGAGATAACAAGGTGTAGAGCTGGATGAACACAGCAGGCCAAGCAGCATCAGAGGAGCAGGAAGGCTGATGTTTCCAGCCTAGACCCTTCATCAGAAATGGGGGAGGGGAAGGGGGTTCTGAAATAAATAGGGAGAGAGGGGGAGGCGGATAGAAGATGGATAGGGGAGAAGATAGGTGGAGAGGAAACAGACAGGTCAAAGAGGCGGGGATGGAGCCAGTAAAGGTGAGTGTAGGTAGGGAGTTAGGGAGGAGATAGGTCAGGCCAGGGAGGACGGACAGGTCAAGGGGGCGGGATGAGGTTAGTAGGTAGGAGATGGGGGTGGGGCTTAGCCTGGTGGCCTGGTCCAGCAATGAAAGGGTGCAGAGAGGCAAGTCACTTACCCTGAGCTCCTGCTCCCCTTCGCTGATGCTGCCACAGTTGTGCCCCTTGTGTTTGCCTATCAAGGTGCAGAGGGTGCAGATGCACACCTTGTCCTCTTTACAGTAAATGTCCAGAAGCCTCTCGTGTTCAGCACATCTCCACACGGACAGATCCGCCGATGTGTCCACCAGGGGGTGGGTTTTGAACACCCTGTTGGCCGTGTGCAGTTTCAGGTGAATGGGACACATGGAGGCTTCACATTTCAAGCAGGTTTTCACAGCCTGCCTGCGGTTGCAATAGCTGCACAGCATGCTGTTCGGAGCCGCTGCTGCCGCTGGGGCCACGGCCAGGTAATCTCCAGCGCCCTTGGCCAGGTGCAGCCTCCTAAAGCCGGGCAGCTCGGCCCGGCACTCCGGGCAGCTCTGGGGCGAGAACTCCTCGATACACGAACGGCAGTAACTGTGCTGGCACGCCAGGGTCACTGGGTCGGTGTAGACCTGCAGGCAAATAGAGCAGGTCAGCTCCTCGTCTAACCATGACTGAGATGAGGCTGTTGCCATGGTGTAGCCCAGAATAGAACAGAAAGCAAAGTCTTCCTCTTAGACACAGACCTCATCGACACTGAGCTGCGGCTGCAAGGCAGGGCGGTTATAAATTATGAACACCAGCAATGTGGCTTCTGACGCTTCCACAGCCACCAAACTTGCACGTTCCCAGTGTTAACCGGCTGCACTCTCTCCAAACCATACCACGCTGCTCCAGCATCTCTTTCCCAGGAGCTAATGGGTGGCTATCCGCACCCTCCGGATACACACAGCCCACCCACAGGCCAGTAACTCACATGGAGTTCCCAGTCAGTTCTACTGCTCCAAAGACCGGTGTGTCTCAGGGGCAGGCTATTCAGCATTTCAGATGTGAAGGTAACTCTTCTGAGGAAGGGGTCACTCAACCCGAAACGTTAACTCTGATTTCTATCCACAGATGCTTCCAGACCTACAGAGCTTTTCCAGCAATTTCTGTTCTTGTTTCTGATTTACAGCATCCGCAGGTCCTTCAGTTTTTAGATAATTCTTCACTCAGTCATAGATTCATACAGAAGGGGACTTTCTGCCCATCGAGTCTGTACTGCTCAAAATATACAACAATCTACACTAGTCCCACTTTCCAGCTCTAACCTTGAATGTTGTGACACCTTCAAGTGCTTTGTAAAGATTGTATGGTTTCCTGCCTCTACTACCTTCTCAGGCAATGCATTCCAGACCCCCACCACCCCTCTAGGTGAAAAATTCCTTCCTCACTTCTGAAGAAGGGTCACCAGACTCAAAATGGAGTAGCACGGTGGCTCACTGGTTAGCACTGCTGCCTCATGGCATTAGGGACCTAGGTTCAATTCCACCCTTGGGTGACTATTTGTGTGGAGTTTGCATGTTCTCCCCGTGTCTTTGTGGGTTTTCTCTGGGTGCTCTGGTTTCCTCCCACAGTCCAAAGATGTGCAGGTTAGGTAGATTGGCCATACTAAATTACCCCTAGTGTCCAGGGATTATCCATGGTAAATGTGGTGTTACAGGGGGAGGGTCTGGGTGGGATGCTCTTCAGAGGGTTGGTGTAGACTCAATGGGCCAAATGGCCTGCTTCCAATTATAGGGATGCCTCATTAACTCTGCTTTCTCTCCACAGATGCTGCCAGACCTGTTGGGTTTCTCCAGCAATTTCTGATTTTGTTAATGTTTTCCTCAAATCACCCCTAACCCTCCTGCCTTTCACTTTAAAGATGTGACCCCTTATTCTTGACCCTTTGACTAAGGGAATAGCTGGAGGTGAAACCCTAGAGGGCTGGGGAAACTCTGTCATTGAGTATGTTCAAGACAGATTTCTCGACATGAAAGGTATCCAACCACATAGGGGAAATGATGTGCAGGTAGATGATCAGCCATAATAAAAAGCAAAATACTGCGGTGGCTGGAAATCTGAACCAAACACAGAGAATGCCGGAGAAGCTCAGGAGGTCTGGTAGCATCAGTAGAGAGAGAAATAGAGTTAACATTTCAAGTCTAGTAAGACACTTAAAGAGTCAGAGTTGTCCAGCATGGAAACAGACCCTTTGGTCCAAATCGTCCATGCTGACCAGATATCCAAAATTAATCTAGTCCCATTTGCCAGCATTTGTCCCAAATCCCTCCAAACCCTTCCTATTCATGTGCCCATCCAGATGCCTTTTAAATGTTATATTGTACCAGCCTCCACTACTTCCTCTGGCAGCTTATTCCATACACACACCACCCTTTATGTGAAAAAGTTGCCCCTTAGGTCCCTTTTAAATATTTCCACTCTCTCCCTCTAGTTTTGGAATCCCCTACCCTGGGGAAAAGACCTTGGCTATTCACCCTATCCATGCCCCTCATGATTTTATAAACCTCTATCAGGTCACCCCTCAGCCTCCAACTCTCCAGGGAAAATAGCCCCAACTTATTCAGCTCAAACCCTCCAAACCCAGCAACATACTTTAAATATTTTCTGAACCCTTTCAAGTTTAACAACATCTTCCCGAAAGAATGGAGACGTTTGCAGTATTCCAAAAGTGGCTGCTGTGCATATAGGTACCAATCACATAGGCAAGAAAAGGAAAGAGGTTTTGTATCATCAGTATGAGGAGTTAGACACCAAATTAAGAAACAGAACCTCAAATGAGGTAATCTATGAGTTATTACCAGAGCCCTGTGTACATTGGCATAGGGCAAATAATATTAGACGAATGAATGTGTGACTCAAAGACTGGTGTGAGAGAAATGGATTCCAGTTCATAGAGCACTGGCACCAGTATTGGGGAAAATGAGAGCATTAATACTGGAAAGTAACTGAACCTTGATGGGCAAGTGTTCTAACAGGCCATTTAAAAGTGTTCTAACAAACCACTTAAAAGAAAAGTAGAAAAGTTTTAAACTAAATGGTGAGGCAAGGGATCAAATTTAGGAAGATGTAATAAATCAAAGAGTACAATGAAGGCAAGAGAGGAAGTTATTAATATGGGAAAATGACAAACAGACTATGAAGTGTTAATCAACAGGTAAGGGTAATGGGTTCAAAAATAATAAAAGGACGAAATGAAAGCCTCTGTATCTGAATCCACATAGCATTCAAAACATACCTGAGAGCTCAAGTAGAAATAAGGAAGTGCAATCTGATAGACAATACAGTGACATGTCTTGGGGAGGACATAAGTTGGGACCTGAGTATTGAATCATTGATTTCAAGGTGGCAGTGACACTGGGGGACTCTTTGTAAGCTATCTACAGCAGATCTTATTCTGATATTTCTTACAATCATTTAATCACCTTTTGATCTTTGTATGTTATGATCTGCCTTTACTGCATGCTAAACAAAACTTCTCACTGTACTTGGAACATGTGACAATAATAAATCAAATCAAAAATGACATTTATAAAGGACAGAAAGTAGGAAAAGATTGGCTCTGTTCATTAAGTCTAGTATTACCACAGTACAGAAGGAGAATCTAAGCTCAGGGAACCAGGATGTAGAACTGGTTTGGGTAAAATGGAAAATGATAAAGGTAAGAAGCTACTTGCTGAGTGAGGCAGTGGCCACACAGAAGGATGGAATATACAGGGAGAAATAATAGGATCTTGTCAAGAATGTACAGAGATAATCATGAGAGGGTGGTGGTTCAATATACAAGTAGACTGAAAAAATCAGATGTGTAAAGGTAACCTAAACAAGGAGTTGACAGAGTGTTTTTGCAATAGTTTCTAAGAACAACATTTTGTGATGCAAACAGAGAGCGGACCATAATAAACCTCGCACTGTGCAATGAGATGGATTTATTAATGACCTTATTGTGAAGGTACTCCAACTAGCAGTGAGCATAATATAATTGAACTTTACATTCAGTTTGAGGGAGAGAGGATTTTAAACTTAAATGAAGACAATTAAGAGGGCATGAAAAAAGAGCGAGTAAAATGAACTGATGTAATGGCAGTGGTATTCAAGGGGATATTTCTGAATACTCAGAATGGGCACATTCCAACAAGAAAGAAAGAAAAAATCAAGGAAGGACCCTCCATCTGTGATTCACTTAAAAAAATGATAGTATCAAGCTAAAAGATATAGCATATAATTTTATAAAGATAAATGGCAGGTTAGAACATTCAGTAGCATATAAAATACCGAAAATAAATATTAATGATGATGGAAAATTTGGAGTGTGAGAAAAAGCTAGCTAGAAATATCAAAACAGACAGTAAGGTTTCTATAATTATGAAGGAAAAATGTTAGCAAAATGACCATTGAACGTATGAGTTTGGGGAATAAATAATGTAACATAAGGAGATGGCAAATCAATTGAACAGGAATCGTGCATTCGTCTTCATTGTAAAAGATATAAGTAACATCCTGAAATAGCTGCAAGTCAGTAAATGGAAGGGATGGAGGAGTTCAAGAAGATGACAATTATCAAGGAAGTGAGACTGACCAAGTTGTTGAAGGTTCAATTAAATTGGGAAATAACTTTTTTATTTATTCATAGAGCATGGGCGTTGCTGGTTGGGTCCGGATATATCACCTGTTCCTAGTTGCTCTTGAAAAGGTGGTGGTGAGCTACCTTCTTCAACTGCTGCAATCCATGCACTGTAGGTAGAACCACAATACCATTAGGGAGGAAATTACAGCAACAGTGAAGGAACGGCGATATATTTCCAAGTCAGGATGGTGAGTGGCTTGGAGGGGAACTTGCAGATGTGGTGTTCCCATATATCTGCTGCTCTTGTCCTTCTAGATGGAAGTGATTGTGGGTTTGGAAGGTGCTGTCTAAGGACCTTTGGTGAATTTCTGCAGCGCATCTTGTAGTTAGTACACACTGCTGCTACTGACCGTCGGTGATGGAGGGAAGTGGATGCTTTTGGATGTGGTGCCAATCAAGTGGGCTTCTTTGTTCTCGGTAGTGTCAAGTTTCTTGAGTGCTGTTGGAGCTGCACTCATCCAGGCAATGGGGAGTATTCCATCACACTCCTAACTTATGCCTTGTAGGCGATGAATAGGCTTTGAGGAATCAGGAAGTGAGATATTCGCTGCAGTATTCCTAGTCTCTGACTTGCTCTTATAGCCCTCGTATTTATACTGCGAGCCTAGTTGAGTTGCTGATCAATGATAACCCCCAGGATGTTAATAGTGGGGGATTCAGTGATGATAATACCATTGAACATCAAGAGACAATGGATAGATAGTCTCTTATTAGAGATGGCTATTGCCTAACATTTGTGTGGCGCAAATGTTACTTGCCTGGATATTGTTTAGATCTTCATGCATTTGAACATGGGCTGCTTCAGTACATGATGAACATTGTGAATCATTGGTGAACATCACCATTTCTTACCTTATGATGGAGAGAAGGTCATTGATGAAACAGCTGAGGATGGTTGGGTTGGGTTGAGTACGCTACCCTGAGGAACTCACTTATTCAAAAAGGGAGATAGAAAGTACAAAATTGCAGGCCAATTAGCTTAACACTTGTAATAGGGAGGATATTAGAAACTTTTGTTAAGGACAT